GCCCTCGGCCACTGCCAACGCGAGAAAGGTAGGAGTGTAAGACGGCGCCTCCGAGTTTCATCTGCTTGAGCCTCTCCAGGCAGATGTCGAGTTCCTTGCGCGGGGCGCCTCCGACGCAGTAGCAGCACATCCAGTCCCAACTCCAAGTTTCGATCATGTTGACTGTCAACGTTTCTGACTGAAGCACCCCTTCGGGAACGTAGCAAAATCCAAGCAAGGTCTGCAATTCCGACCGCTGCGCCTTTGCGCCAGTTGTCGCAATTTCTTTTAGGCGGCGCAGGATGCCTCTGATGCTATCGCCAATGTGCGGCTTGCACACAGATATATCGCGCTCGGTTGCTGGCACCAAGAAGCCAGGTGCATCAGGCAGGGTCGTCGACCTGTGGGCTGCGCAGTTCTGGCACAGGCCGCATATGTTTATTCCTGTTGCGCCCAGCAGCCCGTACCTAAACTTGAACGCTCTCTTGCCCTGGAGAACCATCCACAGTTTTCCAGTGACCAGTCTTGGGTGCGATTCCCCATGGATCTGCATGACAACCCCTTCTCTGAGATCGACACTACCCAAAAAAACATTCAAGCACGTACTTGAAAAGCTCGGCGCTGCCGCCAGGTAGCTCGCCCATGCTATCGGACCTGGTGCCCACGAGAGCCCCCCGAAGAAGTTCATTGGATAACTTTTCCACCCCGAGCTGTGCCCACGACCAATAGAGACTCATACGCTTTCTCGAATTGTGGCCTTTGAGGCTGTCCCCAGGAGCAACCTCGTCAACCTGAAGGCTGGTGACTCCTACTGGGGCTAGCAACCACCAACGCGTCAGACAACAAACAAAAATTCGCCCTCCTCCTATTGGCCCATTCTCCCCCTCCTCCTCCTCCTCCTCCTCCTCCTCCTCCTCCTCCTCCTTCTCCTTCTCCTCCTCCTCCTCCTTTTCCTCCTCCTCCTCCTCCTCCTCCTGCTCCTCCCCCTCCTTTTCCTCATCGCATGCCCCCCTCCCCCCCGTTCCCCACGGGAACGGAGGGGGGGGGGGGGGGCGCAGGGGGGCGGCCCAAGGGGGGCGGCAGGGGAAAAGGTAAGGGAGGCGGCCCAACGATGCCCAGTTGTTGCGGTGGCGATGGCACCCGTTAGCCCCTGGAGTCCCTGCATGCGATCTCGATCCACGCAAATGGGTTCGCGAAGTGCAAGGTGACATCCCCCCCATCCGAGCCCTTGACAACCCTGGGAAACAACAAGGGGCCGTGGTTGTGGGACATTTGGTAACTCTTGGATTCCCGCTGCCGTCTGTGAGTCGACCTGGATATGGAATCGGGCACCGGTTGGTCCCTGATCTCTGCCAAAAGCGCACACAGCGCAGAAGCAGTCACATGGGACTTCCGTCCAAGGCCGAGCATTCTGTTTTTTTTTGCCTTGCTTGCGAGAGTCATTGCTCCGAAGAGCTTGAGCAAAAACGGCAATGGGACGGCCGAGCGCAGAGAGGGCGAGGGGTGGAGTGGGATGGAGGGGTGCAGGTTTACACGCTGCATGGGGCCCCCGTGGGAATGGCAGTTGCTGACGCGCCCAGTGATGGAGAGGGGCTTTCCACCCGTGTCCCCCGGACCCTTGTCGATTGAAGTTTCACTCGGCACATCTTGCCCCCCTCCCTGCTGCGCCCGTGGCTTCGGGGGTCTCCGTTTTGATCAGCTTGACGGTTTGTAGTTTGGGTGTTGGCCGTTTCGCAACGTTGCCCCCTTCTTTTCCCCTTGTAATGGCCCTAGCTGGGAGGGCCTGCGTTTTCCTCGCTTGTTTTGTCTTACCACGGGCGTGCCGATTGACGGGCCACCTCTGCAAAGTCGAGCGCTCGCCCCGATGCTCTTTGCGTGTTGCTCGCAACACGCATGCACGTGGCCTGTAGGAAGTGCGAATGCTGAAACACAACTCCCAGCACTGAAACTGGCCATGCGCCACCACGAACCGAGAGACCTATAAGCAAAAAGAGAGCCGCGCAGCTATCACGCGTGACCCGAAGCACACCATTCCATTATTCCCCCACTGTCAACGTGTACACATCCGAAGCTTCTGCCCAGGCAGCCTTCGCAATGCGGACCAGCTCATCCTTTTTTGGCGACCCCCTCTTTCTTTGCAACCGTCTGGGCCCCGCTGCGCGCCCTGGAACAGAAAGCATTGCGGGCCCTCCCTGTGCAGTCCTCGGGCTTCAGGAGGTGTTTGTAATCCACGTTGCGGGGGGCAGCGGCGATGGCACCTCCCCTCCCGAGGCTTCCAGAGTTGATCGGGCAGAGGCGGCGGAGGAGAAGAAGGAGGAGGAGGAGGGCCATGGGGAGGAGGAGGAGGAGGGGAACCCGCGCAGCGACCTATTCTAAAAAATAAGAACAGGTCGAACGAGCGGCCACCAGAGGAGGAGGAGGAGGAGGAGGAGGAGGAGGAGGAGAACATTGAAGAGGAGGACGTGGATGACGAGGGCTTGGAATATAATGACCAACATGAGTACGGAGCAGGGGCAGCAAGAGGAGCAGCATCAGCAGCCGCAGCAGCAGCGCCTCTACTCTTCTCACCGCGATCATCATCGCGCTCGCCACCGCCACTTATACCCAAAACTTTCCATGCCATACCCTTGCCCATGCGCCCCCCGCCCCTGGCGCCTGTGGGAGAAGCGGCAGGCCGCTTGCCAACGAGCGCCCTGGCCTTGCCCGGGGCCTTGGCGTTGCCATTGGGCTTGGCCGAGGCGCCGACCGACGTGCCCACGGCGTCACCTGCGCCGAGTGCCGACCCAGCAGCAGCGAGCCCCGTTGCGGCAGCTTTCTCGGCCTCGGCGCGAGCCTTCGCGGACGTGGCCGCATCCCGCATGCGGATCTCGAGCAGGGCCGTCTCATCCACGATGGGGTTGCCTACTGGCGCAGGTGCTTCAGCCTTTGGCGAGGCAGATGGCGCAGGCGCAGCTGCCCCCTCCAACGGCGCTGCAGGTGGCGCACCGTCGGACTTCAGTGCGTCTTCGAGGGCCAGAGCGCCTTCTTCCCGCACGGCGCCTGACCCTGCAGAGTCGGGGCTGTCCGAAGAAGGCAGCCTCGTCGGACCTGGAGGCGAGCGGCCGCACTTAGGTTCAGGCCAGTGAAGTCTACGTTGGCGCCGTTGGACTGGCTCTGCTGCTGGGCGCCGCCCATCATGCTTGCAACGAATTGGTCAAGAGGTCCAGCGCCGTGGGCGCCTCCGAGATTATGCATCATGGTCATGGCCGCCATGAGCTGCATCTGCTGCATCTGTTGGTCACCCAGCGGTTGGAATGGCTGATGCTGCTCGCGCGGCGCCATCGCAGTAGCAGCCTCCCCGAACCTAGCTCTTTTGCATTGGTTCGACGTGTTCCTGCAGCGCATCTCGTTAAAGACTAGATCGAGGCCGTCGACATCTGGATCCTGCACAGGAGGGCGAGCACCATCAGCTTCAGGATACGCGTGGTAGAAGATAGCCCTGTGCAGCGCATCAGGCTTCAGAGGGCATTTGGTTTCGCGCGAGAACGTCCAGGGCTTGGACTTGTCCAAGGTCTTCACCATCTTCTGGAGTTTGTCTTTCTGCGACCTCTTCCACTCGCCTGTCAACTCTTGGGCCATCAAGTCCTGGGAGCAGAAAACGACGATGGCCACGCCCTTCATGAGGAGGCGCTCCTTTGGGCACGTCACTCCGATCATGTTCATACGGGTGGCGACCACTTCAAGCTTGGCTGCCGTCGAGAGCTCAGTGGGTTTGAATGATTCCCACTCAGCAGCGGTGAAGTAGCGCTCCAAGAAGACCACCTCCTGCGTCCCCGGGGGCCCAGCTGGCCTGGCGCCCGTAGACACAGCTGCGTCATTCAGTGCTGACGCAAGCGCCTGCTTCTGCTCGACACTCCATGGGCCGACGGCCACGTGCTGAGCCACTGATTTGCAGCAGTCGGAGCTCATGATGCCTCCAGCGGGGATGGCATGGGTGAGCGCGTTGACCTGATTTTTCATCAGCGTCTCCCTGTTGAGACCTGCGTTAGCCTGCGCATCCACCAGCGCGAGCCGTTGGTCAATCACGCTGATCAGGTTGTCGGCCATGGGATCGCCCGCCAGTGGTAGTGGTGGCGGTCAGCGCTAGTTGTGCTCAGAGCCACAACGAAAGCCAAAACGGCTGGTGTCATCATCATCACACCACCATCCCCATCTCATGCCTCGCTTCCTTCCTCACCCTTCCCCCTGTGTAGCGGCTTCGTCTCACCGCGCGCTGCTGGAGGAGCGAGCCGCGCCCGAACGCACGAGACTGCCCTCTTGCGAGGTCGCGCCGGGCGAGACTGAAGGGCGGAAGGGGGGGGGGGGGGGGGGGCGGCTGAGCGGCGCGGAAGAGGGAGGGCGCGGACGAACATGAGAGCGACGAGCAAGGAAGGATGAACAGGATTTGCTGAACGCACGTGCTCAACGTGCCTTCGCCGCCGCGCCTCAGAGCACGCACCCCGACCTTTCCTTTTCTGGCAGGGGGCCCCACCAGGGCCCAAAAGTTTGACCTGCCCGTGAGCAGTTCGAACTTTTGTTCGAACTGCCCGCGGGCAGTTCGAACCTTTGGGTCTGCGCAGGGCCCGCGCCCCCCAAAGTTCGAACTGCCCACGGGCAATTCGAACAGAAGTTCCGACTGCCCACGGGCAGCTCGAACTTTTGGCCCCTGGGGCCGGCAATCCGGGTTCGGGGCCGTTCTTTCATCCATTTGCGGCCCCCAGCGCCTCACCAAGGCTACGGTTTTCATGGGGCCGCGCCCATCACACTGAGCTGGCGCATGCACTTCCCAGCCGGCACCACCACTCAAAAAGTGTCTGATGGGATGGCCGGGGCTAGCACCCCCCACGCTAAACACGCGCGCAGCTTGGAAATGTGTCTCGCTCATTGCACTGCAGGACAGCATCATCGCATCAATTCTGCATACACGCGCCACAAAGGCTGACAACGCGGAGCCCTGCCCACGGGGCCACACGCCAAGTGCATCTAAACTTACCAAGCCCCTCTCACTTGCCACCCTGGTCATGCAGGTTCTGTAATTGCGCAGCAGTGCGATTAACCCTCTCCTGGATAGCCTCCCTGGCGCCATCGCTCGGGATGGTCCTGACTGCAAATGCAGTCTTGTTTTTCTCCGCGCAGAAATATTGCGCCATGAGGGCGCGCCCGGCACGGAACCACTTCACGTCAGGCATACGCACGGAAGGCGACCAAATATCACGCTCATCGGACCTGGGCTTCTGGCCGAGAATGTCCACCGAATCGAGCTTGATCCACAATTGATATCTACCCTTGGCGCTTGCCAGGACTGCGACGACCTGCCCACCGCCAACTTCGAAGTCAACGTTGACGTCAACTGCGCGAGAGATCTCGTCGCACAGCTCCTTGCGAGGACGCTTGGGCAGGGACCCCTCGTCAAACTGCGGCTCAAGCTTCTTGAGCCCGGCTTCCCTCGTCAAGCGATCAACGGCAGCGTTTCTCGAACGTGCAATGGCATCGAGCATGCTGTGCCCCTTCGACAACATGTCGGCGAACCTCGCGACCTGCTTATTGCACTCCACGAACAGATCGCCATTGACCTCTATCGGTTTGGCGACCCAGCGCGCGGCGACGTTTGGCCCTTCTCTCCCCCAGCCAAACAGAAACGAAACCATTGCAAATAGTCGGCATAGCTGAGCTGCGAGCCACAAGGAGCGCGGTACCCTAAACTACTTGAGCCAAAGTGTTCTACGGGACGCCGGCTTGTCAACGGAGCAAACTAATCGCCAGCGCTTACGCGCGCGCCGCCAGGGGGGGGGGAGGAGGGAAGGGGGGGGGGGAGGGCGAGGAGGAGGAGGAGGAGCATGGAGATGGCTGAGGAGGAGGATGAGGGCGGGAGACGAGGAGCGGGAGGAGGAGGAGGGGGAAGACCAGGCCCACGGTTTGTCCGATTTCGCTTTTGCGTTGGAAGGGCGAGGAGGGGGGCCCCAGATTGACGGCTCACGTTCGTGGGGGGTGTCTGGGACATATTCATGTTGGGCAATTGTGTATACTTGGTAGTTGTTTCTGTTTGGTAGACGTTTCCGACCCCTTGCTTGTCGCCCCACATGTTATATTACAATGCGATCGTTGTCGATCAGATGCCGCGAGAAAGTCCAACCACGACACTGCCCAAAGATGGCCCCAACAGGGGCTTCTCGGGATCCCCCCCAGGGAAGCAGCCAGCCACACTCGCGACTGCACATGGGCACCAAGTGTCTGCCTGCCGGTCGCGACCCCGGATGCATCCCGAGCTGGCCCGAATGGCTCGGACGCGCTGCTAAGCTGCGCGCAAGGTGAGGCCCCGCAGCCATTCCTTAAAGGTTCACTCTGGTGCGTTCCAAATGACGATTCCCAGCGTTCCCTTGCTAACCCTTCCTTCCGCATCTCCCCCCGTCTCCTCCTCCTCCATCTCTCGCTCCTCCTCCTCCTCCGAGCTCCTCCTCATCCTCCTCCTCATCCTCCTCTGTTGTTCCTCCTCATCCTCCGCCTCTTCATCCTTCGTCCCTCCCTCTCCCCTTTCTCATCCCCCTCCTTCTCCTCCTTCCCCTGGCCCCCATCCCCATCTCCTTGCGAGCCCCCTCCCGCCTCTGCCCTCGGCCGCCCCCCTCGCCCCTTGATTCGCAGAAGCGTAAAATAGCTCCTATATCATGCCACCAGAGCTACAGAAGCGAAAACACATGGCACCTAGGACGTCTTGGCTTTCTTGCCCGCGATCGGGCTACAGCCACCTGCCCTCTTCGTGGCCCTGGGGTCAGAAACTTTACAAACAAGCGCAGTGCCAGCCTTAATCGCTTTCCGAATCACTAGAACCGGAACGGCCGACTCCGCGCGGTCGCCAACAGATCCCGCGAGCGTCAGTGGACCAGGTCATGTCGCAGAGGTCGTTGTCTGGGCTGTCAGCCACATACCAGACAGGGGCCTTGCACTTGTCTGGCGCTGCCTCGGCCTTGGGCGCCAGCTATATCTGCAGAGAGGAATCGCGCCTCACGCGTGCCCAGGGAAAGCCGACGGCTTCGGGGGGGACTTTCGAGCTGCACCCGATCGCGGGCGCGAGGGGGGCAAGGCGCAACTCCCCCTTCTGGTAATCCTTAGAGGCGATCACGCCATTCATCCCCTTCTTGGTGATAATTGTCGCGAAGACATCCTTCTGGTGGGCCGCGCAGGCCGCGCTCGCGACCTTCCGCGCCGCGGGGCGGCAACAGGGCGACGGACGACGGGATGGCGCTGTTGTTTCTATCGCACTTGCATGGGGGAGCATCTGACTCGAGGCCCTGACAGGCCTTCGCGCAGCGAAATTTCCCCTTGCTCGAGCACCCCCCCCACCCCCCACCCCCCCTTCCCACCCCAAGGTGGTTTGCGCTGGTTCAATAGCGCAGCAGACATCATCTGGTCTGCACTGGCGCGGCGATTCCGCCCGAAGAGTTCCCGGGGCAAACGAGACAGAAGACTGGAACTGCACAGGCGTGAAGGGGCCTCTTCAGGTCACTCGAAACGCGTTCGCTTGTCTCCCTCTCCATCTCCTCCCCCTCGTCTCCCCCCTTCCTGCCTCCCCCCTCTTCCTCATATCACCCCCCCTTCTCCTCCCCATGCTGCTCCTCCTCCTCCTACTACTCCTCCTCCTAACGATCCTGACCATCGTCCTCTTCTCCATTCTCGCGCCGCAAGTCTTCTCGCTCTCGGCTCTGGGCCACATGCACCCTCGTCCTCACCTTCATCCTCATCGTCTTCATCCTCATCTTCATCCTCCTCATCCTCCTCACATTCATCCCCCTCATCCACGTCTGGGGTCCGACTGCCAACGTGGCCTGAGCCTTCATGAGCTCGAAGGCCAAGTCGCCCGCGTCGAGGGCGTTGACGGCGTTGTCAACGCGCGTGCGCACCTCGTCCGACACAGGCGCAACCTGGGGCGTGTGCGTGCGCGTGCGTGTGCGTGTGTGTGTGTGTGTGTGTGTGCGTGTGCGTGTGCGTGTGCGTGTGCGTGTGCGTGTGCGTGTGCGTGTGCGTGTACGTGTGCGTGTGCGCGTGCGCGCGTGCGCGCGTGCGCGCGCGCGCGTGCGCGCGTGCGCGCGTGTGCGCGTGTGCGCGTGTGCGCGTGTGCGCGTGTGCGCGTGTGCGCGTGTGCGCGTGTGCGCGTGTGCCGCGTGTGCGCGTGTGCGCGTGCGCGTGTGCGCGTGTGCGCGTGTGCGCGTGTGCGCGTGTGCGCGTGTGCGCGTGTGCGCGTGTGCGCGTGTGCGCGTGTGCGCGTGTGCGCGTGTGCGCGTGTGCGCGTGTGCGCGTGTGCGCGTGTGCGCGTGTGCGCGTGTGCGTGTGCGCGTGAGCGCGTGTGCGCGTGTGCGCGTGTGCGCGTGTGCGCGTGTGCGCGTGTGCGCGTGTGCGCGTGTGCGCTTGTGCGCGTGTGCGCGTGTGCGCGTGTGCGCGTGTGCGCGTGTGCGCGTGTGCGCGTGTGCGCGTGTGCGCGTGTGCGCGTGTGCGCGTGTGCGCGTGTGCGCGTGTGCGCGTGTGCGCGTGTGCGCGTGTGCGCGTGTGCGCGTGTGCGCGTTGCGCGTGTGCGCGTGTGCGCGTGTGCGCG